TGGGACATCTCTCAGAAACTTTCTGTTGCTTGGGGGAGGGGTGGAGAAGTGAAGGGAGGTGTTTCTCTTCTTCACTGTGATCACCACTTCCTCCTATGGCAGCTCTCAAGGGGTGGGTGGTAAGAGACTACAGTGAGCAATACTGCAAGAATGGGCATCAACTGACACTGCTGAGTTTATACCACCTTGTGCTTGGGCATGTGCCAGTTGAGGCTAAACAAAGTGCTGCTCTTATTGGTTGCAGCTAGTGCCAGATTTATTGGGAAAGAGGAGGTCTTTCTGCAAAACTCAACCTAAAATGGGGAGTTATTCGGTTTGGTATGTGGAGGCATCACCTAGTCATCTGTCCCCATGGAAAGAAATTTGTTTAATGTTAGCTACCTAAAGCTGGAAAAACAAATCACATTTATTTTTGGAGCAGAAAATGTAGTTTTGTATTTGCTCTTTTCAGAAACCACAAACTCTCCCCGAAGATATAAAATGAAACTGGGTTTTGTGCGTGTGTGTGTTTTTCTGGGTTTTTTTTTCTTTTGTTGCCTTTAGAGAGTTCCTGTGCTCCTTCCTACAGCAATCCTCCTCCTCCTATAGCAATCATTCACTCTGTTACCAATCTTTAAAGAGAAAGCAAAGTGGGTCTGCTTAGGCAGATTGCCTCTGCTGAGCAATACACAGTGAAAGCAGGCAATAATACAGCCTGCATATACCCCCGTCAGAAGAGAAAGAGAAGTTTGTCTCCAGCCAAGAGACAACAGCTGGAGAGTCAGAAGTCTGAGAGATTGACAAATGCAGGCAATTATTTACAAGCTTTATAGTACAGATGCAGTTGCCCAGAACTAGGTAATCTGATGGGAAGTATGATCACCACCTGCTTTAATATGGGGGGAGGGCAGAATTTGTTTGCTTTTCTGAGTTTTTAATATTGCCTTATATAGGTGTATAATTTCTCACAAACATATCTGAGCTGCCTCTTATAATGAGGAGGAATGTTCAGCATGCGTTCCCAAATCCCAGGGGTATGGGAGCCAGTTTTAGAGATAGGGTATCTGTTCCAAGTACTGGGTGAAGGAATGAGGATCTGATTCTGGGCGGGGTAATAGGGCTGCTTTACAGAGTGCAGCTTATGCTTTTGAGAGCAGTGAGGTAGCAGGTGGAGAGATCACTGCTAGCAGCTGGTAACACTGCGGGGGTAGAGGCATGAATAATAGGACTTTGGTTTGAGCAGTGACAGCGATTATTGTTGTCCTACCTAGAAAACAGATGCAGGCAATTATTTACTAGCTTTATAAAAAGACCTTCTTCCCACCTTTCCCTTCCAGCACCACACATGGACACACACAAATTAAGCAAACATAAATTAATCATGGGGGGGGAAAATAACATGTGTTCCCAATCACCTTTCAGTTCAGTCAGAAAGACGCATAATAAAGGGCTCCATCTCCCAACATGCTGAGTAGTCTGGCCCCAGGCCAGAAATGTATTTGACATAAGAATGCCATGTTCTAATCTGACATTTTTTTCATCCATGCATTTCAATGCCTTTACAGAGGAGGTTGGTAGCATTACCCCCATTTTACAGATGGAGACTTGAAGCATAGGGAAGGGAAATGACTTGCTTAGGTCACACAGGAGTCAGAGGCCCATTGCCACTCTGGGAAAAGAAACCAGGTATCTGGAGTCCTAGTCCACTGCTCTACCTACTAGGCAATGTTGCCTCCACGTGAGTAGTCCCAACCAGTTCAAGGGGAATTTCTATGTACTTAAATGTTCGGTATGCACTTTGCTGGATCAGGACCAGAGTGCTTAGCTCTTTGCAGGATTGAGCTCCTAAAACTCAGTAGTCTCCTAAGCACAGAGCATGAATGGAAGTTGGTGGAATTCTTCTGTTGCCCCTGGAGGTCGGGGTCAATCCAGGTCAGACCCAAGGTGTTGCGGAAGTGTGGTCCACCATTCCCACACTTTGAAGATTTTTCCCTTTTCCCAAATTATGAACATCAGACAGGTTAAGTAAATTTAGTTTATTGGTCTGTCATATTGATTTCATGAAACAACAGTGATTTCACCATCTTAGAATAGCTGAGCAGTGATTAGTGAGTCAGCAGAGACATGGTAACTACAGCTGGTCAAAAAACTGGAATTTTCAAAATTTCAGTTAAATTGTTCTGCAAACATTTTTCCATTAGTTCATCTAATGTTTGGATTTTTCCAACAATCCAAAATTCCAACAACTTTTCATGAAAAAAATCAAATATTTTTCCAATCAGCTGCAATGATAACCATATACAGTTGTTCATACTTCTCCAGCATCAAGCGCGGAAGAGGTGTTATATGCATAAGGTGCATAACCCGGGGTCAGAAGACTTCTCCCCCATGCTGCTAGCAAGCATTGGAACTCTGAAGGGAGATGCTCACTGTGAAAGGGGTAAAGGAGTTTATTAGAGCTAGATACAGGGGATATGGTTGAAGTGATTGGACAGAGAAAGCCACAGAAGTCTCTGTAGGGACAGTTTAGGAACAACCAAGATCAGGGAGGAAATTTAGGTGGATGTTTTTTGATTTTTTTTACATTTTTACCAGTCAAGTCAATCCTCAAGAAAACAGTAAGTTAAGACTAAATGTAGTATGCATATAGATTCTTTTCAGAGCAAGCTGGGAACTCCGCATGTGAAAGAGAATAAATCCAGATAAAATTAGGAAGTTCTTCTTTATGCAGATGGATTGGGCTAGGAAATAATCTCCCCAAGGAATGGGTAAACACTTGGGACACTTAAACCCAGACTAAATAAAGCACTATAAATACCACAGAACAATTCTGTACAATAGGAGATGGAATAGATGATCAAGAACACTAAGGAACTACAACCTATCCTCGAAGATGTTCCCTCACTCTCACAGACCTTGGGAGGCAGGCTGGTCCTCACTTAGGGTATGTCCACACTATAGACGGTTTTTTTGAAAAACGGTTGTTTTTCTGAAAAAACTTCAATTATGTCCACAGTACAATCACATTCTTTCAAAAGAAAATTGAAAGAACAGAGGGATTTTCCCAACATTGGCAAACGTCTTTTTACAAGGAAGAAGCCTTTTTCCATAAGAGCTCTTTTAGAAAAAGGCATGTGTGGATGGGTAAGAAGGAGTTATTTTGCAAGAAGAGGAAAGAAGAAAAAGCAGGGTGCCGTGGTGGCCACTCCGTCCATAGTAATCACAGCTTACATGCGAGATAGCATCCATTCAGTCTGGATGCTATCTTTCAAAAAAAGCAGATTTTTTTATGCGCTTTTACAGTGTGGACGCTCTCTTTCGGAAGAAGTTTTTCGGAAGATCTCTTCCGGAAAAGCTTCTTCCGAAAGAAGCCTGCAGTCTAGACATAGCCTTTCAGACAGCTCCACAACCTGAAACAAATATTCACCACTTATCTAATAGACTAAGATCCCAGGGGAGCTACAGCTTGACACCACCAACTACATGCCATACAACAGAAGCACTAATTCAGGAACCAATCCTTGTTGCCAGTTCTGTCCACATATCTACCTTAGTGACACTATCTTTGGACCTAACCACATCAGCCACACCATCAGGGGCTCATTCACCTGCACCTCTATGAATGGGATTTATGCCATCAATTTGCCAGCAATGCTTCTCTGCCATGTACGCTGGCCAAACTGGACTGTCTCTATACTAAAGAATAAATGGACACAAATCAGATTTAAAGCATGGTAGCATTCAAAAACCAATAGGAGAGTACTTCAGCCTGGTTATTCAGTAACAAGCCTGAAAAGTTGCCATACTTGAGCAAAAAAACCTTCAAAAACAGACTGCAGCATGAAACTACAGAGCTGGTATTCATGTGCAAACTTGATACCTTCAGATGGGCTCTGAATAGAGGGGAAAAAAGTAATTTTTCCCCTTGTGTTAGTCTCACTATTAAGAGTGAGCCAAATTTACCCTGATTGGATTGGCCTCATTAGCCCTGGTTCACGTATGTAATGTAACACTCCCTCTTTGCATGTGTGGGTATATATCCCTGCCAAACTGAAGTTTCCACTTCATGAATCTGACGAAGTGGGCTCCAGTTCATGAAAGCTTATGCCCAAACAAATGTGTTGGTCTTTAAGGTGCCACAGGACTCCTCATATAGCTCTCCCTCTCGGACTTTCTACTCTCTGTGATTCTATTGCCTCAGTGGCTGAAGAAGAACGTTACAGTATTTTATGGGACACCACTAGAGAAGGAGAAAGCATACTTCAAGAAAGTGGTGTTAGTGACTTAATGATTGAGGTGATTTCCTCTGAATCAGAAGTGATTTAGACCCCAATGTGGTCCAATGGAGCCTAGGTTGGGAAGTGACTTGCCATCATCACTTAATGTCTTTTAAGTGTCTTTTGTGAAATAAGTTGGTGGCCTCAGTCCAGGACTTGATAGATAAATGTCCACATCACAAACACACCTTTCCAGTTTATACTTTGACTTTGCCAGCAGTATCTAAAAAGGCCAGACAGAATGGGCACAAAGACCAAACTGCTAGTATGGGCTGAAGGCATGCCAAAGGAGCAGTGTGAGAAAGCTAATTCTATCACTCCACCTGTTCTGTAGACAGAGGAAATTAATTCTTCAGAAATCATCTCACCTTTTACTGGCACTGAAATCACTTCAGTAAAATACGAGACTAGCTCAGTTAACCTGTCATCCACGTGTCTTTTCATCAAACAGCTTCAAGACAAGTAAATTGCTTCTAATGTTATTTTATTAAAATGTAGCTTAAATATTAGGGGAAATTATTATGTGCCATGTTTCAGTACATGAAAAAAGTTTTTAATATTCCAACTTCCACATTAAATCCCTGCTTATGCTCACCACAATGATTCATGTTCAGTAAAGGCCTTTTAAATCTAGCAGACAGAGGCACAGTGAGATCCAATGGGAGCTACAGCTTGACAAATTCAGACTAAAAATGACATGCATGGGTTTTTAACAAGTGAGGGTAGTTAGCCACTGGAACTTACCATGGGACGTGGTTGGTTCCCCATCACTTGAAGGCTTTAGATCAAAATGGATGCCAAGTTGCTCTAACTCTACCATAAGTTTCAAGGCTTCTGACAGGCACTCCTGGAGGACATTTTGTAGCCAGTTTTATGTTAGCCAGACTAGATCATCATATTTCCTTCCTCTTGGTCTTTGAATCTATGAAAATTGTGATGCAGCTTGGTTATAATGTGAACTTTCTGTTATGTTCTCAGTAGCTACATTTTGAAGTTGGCTGACTTTTACTTATGGCTTAACAAAGATTGTTCAGGCTAGTTTAACATTAAACCTAAATGGCTTTGTAGGACTTGGTGAAAGTCTAGAAGCTATGCTTCTTGAGACCTGAGTTCTGGTTACATAGACATGGGAAGTACAGGTGCAGATTTGTGCCTGGTTTCCCCATGCTTGGGGGCCTGTCCCACTGCTGGCTCCTCCAGGCCCTGGCCTCTGGGTGGCCATCTTGGGGTCCTGCAGGCCCCACACACTTTTGTTGGCCCACTGGCCTTGTCAGGGGCTCTACAGCCCACAGGCCCAAAACTCTGCAGCTGTCCTCAGCTACAGCCCCAGCCTGGGGCAGAGAGGGTTGCCAACTGTCCTAGACTGGATGGATTGGACATCATTTGCAGCAATGGAGTGTGGTCCAGGAGAATTGGCAACTTGATCTCAACAGGTCTAAAGAAGGTGAGCTCAGCACTCACACTCCAGAAATACTTCCAATGCCACTAGCTGGTTGCCAATGTTTGATTCTAATGGACAGTCAAGAATCAAGTGTCCCCTTTGGGGCACATTTAGATATGGAACATTTCCTCTTGTTTTATGGACTGATCTATCTCTGGTTGAAAGTAACAAGTGGCTGTCCATTGACTTTAATGGGGGTTGGACAGGGTCCTTAACAAGGGAGGATGGTTAATAGTTCCCGTTGGTCATTGGTTCCTAAGAAACACCAAACACAGAGGCTGATATTACTATTTTAATTTACTTTAATCTATTGAAAAATGTTAATCTCTCTTTTTTCAGTTTCTTTCGTGAGTATTGAGTGCTTTGCATGAAGCAATGAAGCGTGTCTCTAGCACACTCATTCATAACTACAGAACAGATGATCTGGGATTATATATAGTTTTAGAAATGTGCTTGAATTTGACGTGCATGAAACTGAAAGGCCAGTGCGCCATGTAGTGCAGGCAATTTTCACAATGCAAACCTAAACCTATCTGCTGTGGAAAGGGGCGTGGAGGGGTTGATCTGAAAAGTGGGCTAGAAGCCAAGAATTCCTGATTTCTAATCCCTGTTCTTGCACTGACTCTGTGCAGTAATGGGA